TTTAGTTGTAAGTATAAACTTAAGTACCTTTCAAGTTAAATTCTCTGAACACTTCTCTGAACGCCATATGAATAACAGAAATTTTCTAATACTCTGTATTTATTAACTTTGGCTTTTTCCGGCTAAATGTAATTTTTATGTTGCGCTTTTAGTGCTCAAATATTCATTGTTCAAGAAAAGACTGATTGTTCCAGGAAAGTACAATTTTTAGAATTTTTCATCAGCAATGAAATTCTTCACATTTCACAAGGCATGAAATTCCGGAGTTATCTTTTTGTTTTCTATAACATAGTGAACTCCGTATTTAAAATACGGATTAAAATATTTTAAAGTTTGCTGAATTACGTGTTAGGATGTAAATACAGGAGCTTTTTCTTCCATTATACGGACAATTTTTAAATTACTTTTGATTTAAACGTACGAAATAAAGTATCGTGTTATTTCAGATTATTTCCACAAAAAGGTAAACACGAACATTATCACACATTTCAACGTTCTAGTCTTTAAACTATAAATTGAATAATCGTAAATAAGCGTAGCAAAATTCAACTTAAATGTGTTAATTAAGAATTAATTCTTACGCAGTAAAAGTTTTTCTTTCTCATTTTACTGTTTAATATCTCACTTAAAAGTTTACAACCCTTTTGCGCCAGTTTTCACTCTGCTTGCATTTTTTTCATCCATTTATTTAAGCTACATTTTATTGTAATAATGCACTTAATTTGGATTTCGTTCAGCGCTGTGGCAATTTCGGGTTATATTTTAATTTATGAAATTGTTATGAAATGAAATTCCAATCTGATTCTTAAGGTTTTAAATGTTTTAAATATTCATATTCGGCATTTTAAAATTTAAATTTAAAAATCAGAATTTAGAAATCAGTTTCGATAAAATTACGAAATCTACTTTTCATACGTTCCTCTATTTACTGTCTTTATATTTGAAAAAAAATATTGGTTATTAAAAAAAACATAAAAATTTGACTCCCGTAAAAAGGGTGGGGGGGACTGAGATATTTTATATTGAAAACGGAGAATGAATTCAGGGGTCATATACAAACTGAAGAGCGAAATGTTTGCATTCGTACACAGCTAAAAATAAAATATCAGGTCAGAAAAGGATTTCTGAAGTTGAGCGATGAAGTGTTGAGTATTTCTGTAGAGATTTCTGGGTAAAATACTTATCAATGTATTTTTTTTTCAGAACGGAGATCTTATTCACAGAATTTTAAAGAATTCGTACCCTACTAAGCACCTATAGACTTCGGTGTCAGCCCGTAACCAATTCTTACTATTATTATTTACATTAATTAAAAATGGAAATTTCGGCATTTTGATATACTTGTACGATAATCAGATTGGTATTCTAAAATAAAAAACGTCATGAGAATCCTAATAACGTTTTTTTAGACTTTGAAAGCTTATATTTTATACTCGTAAAAATTCTTTCGACATGCTAAATATAAAAAAAATGAAAACACTAATAAATCACGAAATAATATTATTGAACGGCGTTTCAGTGAAGAAAATCAAACTCTAATTATTCTAATTTATTTATTACCTGACCCCTCAATGCAATTTGAAAATGACGTTATAATTCAAAAATTTTGAAATTAAATATGTCGGTCAATTTTGGTCGCACGGAAGCCAAACGTTTTGTAGTTTACATTTTATAATGAATAAGAAATTTTTCTAAATATATGTATAAGGAGCGGATTGATTTATAAATAGTTAAATTTCGTAAATTTTATAATTGAATGTTTTTAATTCCAAAAATACAAAAACATGAATATTTACGTCATTCAAAACATTTTTGTTATTGGAAATATATGTCTAGGGTCAACGCTTGGGTAAATAAAGGTCGAACAATGACTTTGGTGGACACGGTGTATAATGTTAAAGATCCTAAGATACACTGCAACTAGATGTATACGGAAAATCCAATTCCTACTCTACAAACTTTGCAATGGGGAAGTTAAGAAAAATGTGAACCCTAAAAAGGGCCAAAAGACGTGTTCAATTGTCTTACAAAAAGGCTGGGCTACTTTCTTCGCCATTGAAAAAGGATATCATATTACTCCACTTAAAGACTGAATAAAAATTTAGCAGACTTCGTGTATATACTTTTATTCAGCAAAATATTTTTGTTTATTGTACTGGATTTGGCATAAATTCTAGAATGTACTTAGTATCAAGAGTCTTCAAATTATACAAAGAGGTTTAATTCATTGAGGTTAGAGAGCTGTGTGGTCAAACATGGCTGCTGGAATCAGTGGTTCATTGTCGTGGGTCTTCAGGACCTCTTTCCAATCCTTTAGGGCTTGTGCTCAGAGAATACTGAAGCCATTCCCATTCGGGATATTACCCTGGATTTTGGCGCTGGGAGGGGTTTCCGTGCAATAACGCATTTTGCTGCTGGAATGAAATGAGCGAGGAATGTGGCGCGTGTTATTACCCACCGATCCATGTATCTGCGGATTTTAAAGATTGCTTTTCGCGCTGCTAAATGCTTGATCTTCACCCCGAAGCTAACCGAGTATTAGTAAGTAAAGACTCGCTATTAAACTTTATTTAAATATGGCGCTTTGTGATGCAGGCTATGCAATACTGAGTAATTTACGAAATGAGTATCTTTTTCTAGCTAATGCAATGCAATTGAAATATTTATAAATAAGTTTTGGGTCTTTAATACCCCCTATAAATAATCCACCAAATGAATACGTATCATTAAACAGCTAAGGGAGTTTCTTTTTGTGTAATTGATCAGATGACTGGGAAATATTGTTTTCAATTAATTTTTCATAACGAAGTATACTTATAACTGCAACTAGATGACAAAGCATTTTAACGAAAATGACCTAATGTCCCCAATTTAATTGAAAACAAAAGAGAATGTAAGTGCTTATTTACAGGAGCAGAAATTAAACAAAAATCAAGATCATTTTTGGTCATATATATATATATATATATATATATATACGAGTATATGTATGTATACAGGTTTAACTTCAATTTTTCATATATATATGACTGTATTTCATAATATATATAACTGTATTTCATAATATATATCCCTTTATTACTATGTTATCACGTCCACATATTCATAAACGAAACACTTATTGACTGGTAAATCTATTACCAGTCATAAATTTATCTATTTCATAACTGAGAAGGTTATTTGCCGTTGGATGGCAGGGATCTTTTGGGCTATGATGTTCGTAATCTGAATTGACGTATTCTTACCCTCATTGATTAACTGTGATTCCAAGTCGGGAAACCTTCACTATCGTAGCTTCTCGCTCTGTGACTAAGTCAAAAGGAGGCGTTCCCGCTATTACTTGCAGTGCCGCCGTCGGAGATGTACGATATGCCCTGCAGACCATAAGGAGTTGCTGTCGCTGGATAGAATTAAGCATACGTCTCATGTGTGATGAGACATGTGTACCCCATATCCCATATACCCCATACAAGAAGATCCTTTCGGCCACAGTCGTGTACCAGATCTTAAGAAGCTTGCCTCGGATTCCACAATGAATGACTACCTCACATCGTAGTGAGGTAGTCATTTTCATGCTATTGGTCAATGCAGTAATTCGTTATTTCACGTGTTTTAGATGCGGTAACCACGACAGCTTGGAATCGATGATCACTCCTACATATTTTAACTCTTTTACGCATTTAATAGAAGCCCTTCAAGTCTAAGGCACGGGTTCCTTCGTAGCGGGCTTTTCCTTCCAATGATTAAGGCATTTGTTTCATTTGCAGAAATTTGAAGCTTGTGCTTCTTTGCCCATTCTGCAAAGATGTTAATGTTCTCTTGGGTCTTCCGTTCCAATTCACTTCGTCCTGACACAATGAGGAGAAAGTCATCCGCATATGCCAGTAAGAAAACTCCTTCTTTGCCGTCATAGAGTTGGAATACGGAATTGACAACAAGATTCCATAATGTCGGGCCCAGACACGATCCCTGTGGGCAGCCTCTCTTAAGGGGTTTCATAGCCATTCCTCCATCTAAAGTAACCTGTACATATCTATCCTCCAAGTAGCTTCTTGTATGATCCATTAAGGTACCTGGACGGCCAGTTTGTTCGAGGCTGCGGATAATGCCAGGCCACCAGTCTTGAGACAGCTGTGGCAAAGCGGGAGAAAGCAAGCGCTTTAATTCGTGAGTCGTTCTACCTACTATATGTCTACCTGGTTTGGTAAGTGATTTTGAATTCGCTAGAAAATAGGATAGCGAATAAACGTAGTTCTGTTGATTAAGTGTTAAAGTCTAATTGTTATGCCTATAATTAAATATTACTTGCAATTTGAAGACTCCTAAAGGATGGGAAAATTTCGTTAAATTTTAGTTGTATTTATCAGACGTAGGTTTTACTAAACTGTTTAGTTCAGTTTAATCCCTTGCCTGTGTTTTTGTAATTTTAGATTTCTGTTTAAGTGTAAAGGCAAGAAATGGATTTTTACTATTAATGTCAGCAAAAATCAAGAAGTTATATTGTGTTCAGATTGTTGTCAAATTATTTATCAAATCGGGGTTTTTCTATTGAAAACACTTAACCAAGCGCATCGCATTCTACTGCTTGATGGAAGTGAAGAAATTTAAGTGAGGGAGAAAAAGATAAAGTTTCAAAGACGCGTTGCATTTTGACATTGCTATAACTTTAGGAGAATGCTTTTTTCGAGAAACGTTTGGAAATATTTATAAGTAGTGTATATATGCCGGAGCTGGCGCAGAGCCATTTACCCTCCCATAAAAATCCCACCCACTTTTAGAAATGTAATGGCTCTGTTTCACCCATATAATTTTTTAAAACAATGGCTCTCAAAGCCCCCATTAAAACCGCACCACTTTTAGAAAACAATGGCTCTCAAAGCCCCCATTAAAACCGCACCCACTTTTAGAAAACAATGGCTCTCCAACCCTCCATTAAAAATTCCACCCACTTTTAGAAAACAATGGCTCTCAAATCACCCATAAAAAAACTGAACCCACTCTTAGGACGAACATGCAAAAGTCGCTGACACGGAAGGGTACCCCATTCGGCGAGCACCCCCTTTTTCTTTAATAGTTCGAAAACTATTAAAAAAATGTATAATATATACCACCCATAGTTTACATTTGTTTATTTTTTTATTGCATAATGTCCTAAGGCCAAAGTATGAAACACCATCCTCCAATATGTGTCGCTTGTCATCTTTTCCTGATAGGGCAATCTTATTCACTTGTATGGAATGAATCTCATGCTTTGTGCTCCTGATGAGATTCATGGTCCTGTACTGTACTTCCTGTGAGAACAAACAGCTTTTATAGTCCCCGAAAGATATCCTATTTTTCACTACACATTTCTTAACACCCTTAGACTTTTTAATTAGCTCTTTTTCAGTTTTACAAGCATACATCTTAGATCTTAAGCCAACGAACTCTTCCAAGATCTTCCCTGCATTTTCATCCTTCATCTTCCCCAATACCTTTTTATTGACTCGCGGTATTCCATACCTGTTACCTTCTGCATAGTCAGATGTATCAAAGTAGTCAATCATTCCTTTCATATCCTCATAAAAGTCCTCGGTCTGTATGTCATAGATGTAACTGTCAGTGTCCATGTACAATAGCTTGATATCGTCCCCGTATTTAGGCTTCATAAGATTATAATGGAAGTCGTACATCAGATGCTTCGATAGATCTAATATACTCATGCCGACGTATATTGGCTTATTAAAGATCACTTTCGTCTTGTTCATATGCACGGCGGCTAACCTTTCGTCGAAAATGGTCCTCCCCTTGAAGTTGGGCTTAGCAATGAGCTTCTCCGCTTTCTTGGGATCACATACTAGTCTGATATCGAGTCGCTTCCTGATATTTTCCATCGTCTTGCCAAAGACCGAGTTGTTCATGAGTTTGAAGAAGTCTTTCTCAAAGTTATTGGTTGCCTTGGTCCTCATTTCAGTGTTCAGGTCTATGTATCTCTTCAACCAGGGAGAGACTGCTGAAACTCCAACACTTTGTGCACCTTTTTGAGCTTCATCCCCAACTGCAACAGTTGCTTCAAAAACCCTGTAATGAACCACATAATGTTCTTTGTCATAGAGGGTCGTCAGTAGTTTTGGTTGTTTTGAGCCATCGGGCATCCTGCTCTCAGGTGCTAGAGGTAGGTCTGAATGGAGGTTGTGCAGATGGGCTGGGTACTGTAGGTCGCAATCGACGATGTATCCTGTGTCTGAGTCATCCGCTACTTGGGTCACATCTGACACAGTGCTCCACTTGAAGCCACCATGCGGTAGGTATTGACTCATGGCCCACCCGTAAAGGTTGTTGGCGTCAAGGTACATCAGGTAATTGGACTTCTTGTTCTCGTCATAGTCCTTCATGTACTTGTTGTTCGCCCTCCCATATCGGTTACAACACTGAGAGACACCTCCTCTGGTCCCCTTTTCTAGCATGAGTATCATGTCATAGTCTGTCAACAGCTCTAACTCGACCTCTGTGGTTTTGAGCATGGCATCCCAGGAGAGTCCAGGTGCGGTGAAGTACCATGCAGGATCCAACTTATAGGTCTTTAGACAGACATCTCGAAAGTGCTCCATGATGTCGGCAAGGATGAGTACATCAGTCTTCACATACAAATCGGAATATCCACCCAATGTCCTAATGTTGAAGGCCCTCCATACCCTTTTGGCGGCGTGCTCGTAGTCCTCATCCTTTATGTGAGACTCATTCAATTGGTTGTAAAAGTCTTCTTGTGGGGGCAGCTTGGTCTCTCGCATTTGTCCCACGAGTCCATGTAATCGTATGGATAGACGCCTTTTCGGGTGACGAGGTCTAGCTTGTCCTTGGGGAAGGGAAGTACTTGGCTGTCTCCCTGAACTCCTTTACGTTCTTCGCAAGACTGTCTAGGCTAGCAGCCATGAACTTGAACGAGTCGACAAACCTCAACTTTATGCCAGGCAACTTTACTTTCTTCCCATCGCCTACATCTAACATCTTTGCCCCGACCTCCTTGCTGAATGAAATGTACCTCTCCTCGTTGTTCGGAATGACATCAATGTCTCCTTTCTCCCCACCGAGCTCCTTTATGAAGAGATGGGCGTCGTAGCCAGAGAGGTTGTGGATAAACACCGGAATGAACGAAGGCTCTTGGTACTTTAGGCTGCAAAGGTTGTGAGCAGGCCCTCTGTAGTTCGATTCACATTTCGCCGGATCAAGAAGATGGTCATGATCTCTGACCTTTCGGAAGTCTGGTTCATCCTTGGGTGAATAGGGGGAGGGTTTCTTCCTGATGTCTCCGCCACAGATATGGCAAACATGGGTCCTTTGGAAGTGCTCTTCATCTTCGGTGGTCATTTTAATGGGTTGCTTCTTATCATAAATGTTCTTTATCGCTAGCGCCTCAGCCTTCACTGTATCAAAGAACAGTTTGGTGGCATTGGGTCCTCTGTACGTGATTGGTGCCTTGTAGTCTGCATGTTTATACTTGATGTAGACAGTGAAGCTCATAGGCTCGTGCTTTTGATACTTATGCAAGAAGGATGCGTCTTCATTGGGATGACAGCTGTTTATCTTGTTTGTCAAGCACTCGAAGTCTCCATACATCACAAAGGGTACTCGCAATGACCTTTGGTAGTTTTTGAACCTCAGAGATTCGTCTTCCTTAGGCATTACAATCTTTACTGGCGTGTTCTTCCTACAATCCGTCTCATGAACTTGAAGGTCCTCCTCAGAGTGATAAAATAACAGGCACCTTTCACAGGGATATACTCTTTTCTCATGTTTAGTTAATTGAGCACTTATTAATTTCGACATGTCTTTTATCCAACAGTAATGACTGTTTCCTTCTTTATTCCTTGTGTACAGCAAATTGACGTGTTTGTCTTCCTTATTTTTAGTGATTCTCAATGGGTAAATGTCATTACCTTCGTATGAGTATATGCTCACCGATATGTCATTCAACTTCTCGAACCTGTTAAATACTCTGTCTTCCATCTGCACTGGGAACTCAATGCCTTCGAACTTTAGCTCATTCTCATACGGTTTTTATATTTGGTGACTCTTTGGGCATCTTTTTCCATAGGGTGCAGTGCAGAGAGTATTGCCCACATGAAACACTTATTATCCTCATTTTGTACGTTTATGACGGCTTTTTTAGCTTTAATTCTTTCGGTAAATCAATGTAGGATGAGCCTCTCAGTGGGTTGTATTTATTGATCCTCACCTCAAGGCTTTTAATTCTGGCAAGCGTCCAGCCTGAACCCCTTGCAACAAACTCCTCCATTTCTGTCAATAACTTTTGGATAACCGATCTGTAATAAGCTACCAAATCAGTTGACTCTAAGATGACTTCATTTGTTGTTTTAAAGTTCATCTCCATTTCTTCCCTCATTCCGTCTTCCCCTTTTTGATAGTCGCAGAGGAACTGGAAATTAACCTTGAGACCATGCAGTCTTTTCAGATTTTAGCGATCAGACCCCGGACCTGTGATGAAACATCGTTCAGAAAGTCTTTGGGAAGCATCAGATTGTGTTCGTTTTGGATATCATACGTCTTCAAACGAGATTCATAGGCTGTCTCAACTTCATGGGGGGTATATAGCCTTCTCTCTCGTGAATCTGAAAACAGGTCGGAGTCAAATGCGAAGTGACGGTTAAAACAATACGCTTTCTATGTATGCTATGATGTCCGCCTTCCTTCCTAGCTTGGAATAGCCCGCAATACCATGCGTTCGACAAAATTCACGGAGTTGGCTGATGGTCATGTGATGCAGCGCCTGCATATATTCAAAATCATCTCTGTGTTCCACCTGGGAGGTGGCTGCCTTCTTTGGTTTCTCCGCCTTCGAACCAGAGTCCCCCTTTTTCATATAGTTTTGGTGAGCTTTAGTTTGCACGTGTTTATTTATGCTTGATTCCTTGATTAACTTTTCGCAACACCTGATCTTACGCACTCTGGTCTTCTTTGGCATGCTGAACAAGTCATTGTGGAAAGGAAAAGTGGAAAGACCGTTATGATATTGAATGAGGGTGATCAGTTCCACTTTTTTAAGGTTCGAGTATCCTCGAATATTATGTTGCCGACAGTAGTCTTTCAACTGTCGGACGGTTTTCGATTCTAGATTCATTTTTGTCTTTCTATATACTAGAAACCTTTTCTTTAAATGCTTAAAATGTTGAAGGGGTACAATCAAATTTAAAAGCATTTAAAAGGAAGACTTGCTAAAATAAACATGGATATAGAGGAAGTGTTCGAAGTAATAAGAATGCTAGGTCTAGATATGAAAGTTTCTTCAGACAAAGGATCTGTAGGAACTGAATCTCAAGAATGTGGGCATAAATATGTGATTCAAAATGATGTTGGCTGGTACGTTTGCCAGGCATGTAGTGAAGAGCTGAGGTATGACCCCAATAAACCCCCTATCAAATAGAAGATTTGTACCGTGGAAAGGGCGCAGACAGCTAAGAAGGATAGTAGAATGAAGAAATCTTTCTAAATGGTTAGATAAGAATAATCTTCTTTCGATGATGCGCTAGGGGTTGATTTTTCATCCTTTATCAATAAATACGTAGAATTGTATCCGGACCGTAAAAACTTAATCAGCAAAGACTATATTTTATACCATATGTTACGGAAAAGAGGTACGACATCCATATTTTGGGGCTTCCCATTAAAGCTACCTAAACTGATGACAACGCTGATTCAGAATGAAGAAATCTGCAGAACCATCTTCGATGCATTAAATTGGAGCACAAATTTTTGCGATGACCCCAATGAGTGAATTATAATTTTTAATAGCTTTCGTCGGCTATTAAAAATAAACTAAATCCTTCTTATCAATCCAGCTAGTCTCAGGATAGCCTAACCATTTTACTAGATATTTGTCCCCTTTCTTTTTGATGACTTTTTCAATCTTATATACGTTGTCTTTCTTATCATACTTTACCAATTCATTTTCATAAAAAGTACCTTTAACCTCTTCATTATTTAAATCCTGAACTCTATAAGTGATTGGATCAGTTTCTAATACTTCAGAAATGACAAATATTTCTTCTGTAAAAGTTGCTTGATAACCTCTTCTGAAGGCAGACTTATATATTGATATTCTTACTTTATCTCCTACTTGGTATTTAGGTTTATGTATGACCTTTTCTTTAAACAAATTGTGATACACATCACCACTGTTTTCTTTTAGACTGGCTTCAGCACAGGTGTCATTTTGATACTTCTGTGGTAGGAATTGTTATAATTTTTTACTAACTGATCCAATACATCTATGTATCTTTTTGTATTGTTTGCTGCTAAATATTTTCTAATTTTACCGTTTAAAGTTCTGTTGAACCTTTCCACTATGGAGCACTTGATTTCGACATTTTCAGTAGTAAACCAGTGAATATTATTCTCTTTAAACAGTTGTTGCGTCTCTTTGTTAATGAACTCGGTCCCCTTGTCTGTCTGAATTTTTTGAGGAATTCTTTCCTTAAAGATCTTTTTAAACGCTATAGTAACTTCTTCTCCCGTTTTTCTGCGAACTGGTATAGCCCAAGCATATTTGCTAAAAATGTCTATGACTGTTAGTAAGTAGTTGTTACCATCATTAGAACTTGATAATGGTTTTAAAAATAGCAAGTCTGCTTGCCATTGGTCGTCAATGTGTGATACGTAAGTTCTCCTTCTTTTGAATTTACGGATAAGTGGTTTGTGTTTGGTATAAACATCTTGCTGGTGTAAGAACTCTTCGATATCCTTTCTAGGAACATGCACCTTCCTCTGAAGCTCCTTGATGCCGCAATATCCAGTTTCAGGATCATAGTACACATCTCTCAGTCTAGGGGTGTTCTGAGTTACCCCGTCAACTTTAAAAAAGAACTTTTCCTTGATCCACACTTTTCACACTTTCCTTTCATAATAGGCCTTCCGTTGCTTGTTACCGAATTTTCAACATTTAGTGTACCTGTCTTCTTTTTACAAATCAAGCAATATGTCACAATAGCACCTAGTCCAAAAACTCTTTTGGTTTTTATGATAGGTCGGATGATAGCCCTAGCTTGTTTTTCTCCGAGTGGATAAAATCCGCTGTTTGGGTTTTCAATGGCATCTAAATCCTTTAAAAGCTCTTCATCTGCAACATGTCTCTGTCTAGTGTCTTTTGTTTGACTGTATGCTATGTCATGCTTCTTACATGCTTTATCTACTCTGTTAACTCCTGGATCCCCTCTAGTCAATCTTTTAGAAAGCTTTGTAAAAGGTCCACAGTACTGATAACCAGGAAGATGCATTTCTGGTGGATTGAGCTTATCTTGCATCCAACCGACTAAATCTCCACCTTTAATCTTTCTATCTTGTTTGCTCATTTATTAAGAATAGAAAATTATTTTTCGTACCCGTTCAAACCTTTCTCCTTTAAATATTTTTCCATGGGGAAGTACTTCAAGTCCTTAATAAATTCTTGCTCTTTAATCAAAGCTTCCTCCTCCGAAATAGTCTTTGCTCTCAAGCAATTTAGTAAAGACTTATAAAACTTGTAGGCAAACTTGTATTCTTCTTTCCTTTCTGCGACATGCAAGGATTTATCAATAATCTCTATGACACTGGCCACGATGCTCAAGGATGCTAAGGGAAGCAGAGCGAAAGCTGTCAAACTCGAAGTACCAAACAAGAACTTCGCAATTGTCAGAGACAGACTAACATCACTGTAGAATTTGTAGCTTTTTCTGTATGCGTACAAGCATGACTCTAATTTTTGTTCCATGTTTTATTTAAAAGAAGAAAAACATTT